ACGAATTCCATTTTAGTGGGTTCTTGGTACTGTGCCGCTGTGGCACCTTCGAAAAATACCTATCAAAAAGTCTAGCCACTATGATATCCGTATTTCGGTTCAACGTCAAACAAAAGAAGGTACCTACTATTGAAAGAAAAGTGTTTTATAAGATCTTTATTATCGAGCTAAAACATTACGTAGTTTAAGTATTTTTTACGTCAATGAGTTTAAGTGAAAGAGAAAAACTAGACAAGAATTCGCGGAAGGGTCATTCTTACTGTTTCCCCAAAAACAGGTTGCTTCACTCAACAATCGCCGAGCTTGACCTATTTACCTAAGGATATCCAGACAAAATATTGTTAAATACAGTTTTTCTTAATTTACTGTTTTAAATAAGACGTACTTAGGTATGCGGTGTAATATTTTAATATGATAACAATAACCACAACTATTACCGTCGTCATTCGCACTATTTTCATTTAGAGATGATTTTGGTATAAACTTATGAAGACTCTTTTTTATTAGAATAAGTAAAACTGATAATTTATATGTCAATAAATACCTATTGTACCTACAACAGTTCGCTTGACTGAAAAGTTAAGAATCCAATCACCTACCACACTACTACCTACTAATACATTATAAAAAGACAGGTAGGTAACTTGAATATTGGCTACTCGGTGATGATGATGATAATGGAATATAATAATTTTTACCTGAGCTTGAAAAACACCTTGCGCGAACACAACCATCGACATTAGGGAAGCCTTTTTATTCTGTAATATTAAGAAAAATAATAGGTTAATTTAATAATAATGGATACATTTAATAATAATGGATGAAGAAGCGTAAAGGACTATGGAGCTCCCATTCCTTGGTAGACCAATTACTTAGACAATTTGATGAGATCCATGGAGTTGGATTTACTAAATCTTACATAGATTAACTCCAATTGGTCAACATGGAGCCATCTTAAAAAAATCTCAAGGTATTTCTAATGGGTCAGTAAGCGAGACATGCAACATGTGGCGGTGTCCATTTACCATTAGATGGCTTGTTTGCTTATACCATTTAAAAAAGACGTGAGACCCAGCGAGAAAATTTGGCTAGCGCTGGCAAAACTACTAGTAGGTAAAACAGTGGTAAAACAATTTTGATATTATCCAAAAGGCAGTGTGAACATGACGACTGACAAAAACAGTTGGTACCTACTTACAGCGTTCAATTAAATACTTATTTATGTAAGATGAGTAGGTAACAAACATTTCATTTATTGATTTTTACACAGATAATACAAAATTAAATAGGTAGGACATACCCATAAAATGCCATGAACGACACGACAAAAGCTTGACGTGCACCCTGGGGTACACTTTACCTTCACATTCTATAATAATAATGCTTAAAAAAAATTGCCTCTACCGTGTACCTTAACTACTCATAGAAAGAAATAAAATACTTACTTTCGTAAATTACGTGCGCTTTAAATTATGTAGGTATTGATGTATTTACATTGTCATTTTTGTTCTAGTAATATGTAGCAATGATCCCATAATATTTTTGCTCTTATAGAAGACTAAAACCAGACACGAATCAACATCTGAAAATATTAAAAGGATTATTTGAGTCAGCCAGCAGGTAAATAAAGTAGGTATAGGTACCTAATAAGTAACCTACCGGTCTACCTATAAGTTTTTTTTTATAGAATTGGGTGCAAACGAGCATGTGGCTCACCTGATGTTAAGTGACTACCGCCGCCCATGATCAACCGCAACACCAGGGGAATTACAGGTGCGTTGCCGGCCCTTTAGAAAGGAGTAAGCTCTTTTCTTGAAGGTCCCCAGGTCGTATCGGTCCGGAAAAATCACCGGTGATAAATTATTCCACACAGAGGTTGTACGCGGAAGAAAACTCCTTTTGAAACGTACAGTGGTGGGCCGCCAAGCATCCAGATGGTGTGGATGGTATCGGGACGTTTGCCGTGTAGTGCGTTCACGAAATTTGGCGGCTGGGATTAATCCGAACAATTCCTCAGAGCACTCCCCGTGATAGATGCGATAAAATACGCAAAGAGATGCAACATCTCTTCGCAGCGCCAGTGAATCGAGCCGATCGGAAAACACTCGGTCGTCGACGATTCGAGCCGCTCTGCGCTGGATGCGGTCAAGTGGAAGGAGCTGGTACTGGGGAGCCCCAGCCCAGAGATGGGAACAGTATTCCATGAGCGGCCGAACCCGCGCCTTGTAAAGTTGCAGGAGGTGTGCCGGCATGTAATACTGTCCCGCTCTGCTGAGCACGCCAAGCTTTTTAGAGGCCAATTTGGCCTTCCCTTCCAAGTGACCACGAAACTGCACGTCACTCGATATGTCGACGCCGAGGATTCCGATACTGGCTGAGGCAACAAGGGGAGTGCCTTGAAACTGAGGGGATACGACAAAGGGGTTCTTTTTAGCGGTTAACGCGCAAACTTGTGTCTTCTGGGGGTTAAACTGGACTAGATTTAGTCGCCCCCAATCCGAGACTCTGTCCAGCAGAGACTCGACTTCAGACACAAGTTTGTCCCGGCACTCAGAGACGTTTTCCCGAGAAATATTGGCTCGGCCGGTGTAAAGAGCATCACCAGTGCTGTCATCTGCATAGCAATGAATGCTACGGGTTTGCAACATATCATTGATATGCAGAAGAAAATAAATAGTTGAAAAATGTTAACGAGATCTTAAGCAAAATATCTTTAGTTTTAATTTACTTAGGTACTGTAATCGATAATGATTAATTGATTACCTAACCAGCGTGAACTTATACCCCATAACAATTAACTTATGGATAGTTAATGAACTATGTTCTTCTCATACATAGGTACCAACTAAATCCACCCAGCTAGTTCTGATTCTCATACAATTTTTTATGAACAACCTAGCTAACAATATGCTTATAATATAAAGTTTTAGCAGCACACTTTAAAATTTAATTGAAATTAAAAAGAATGATCAGATCACTTACCGTAAGTACCTAAGTACACAATCACAAACTATCACATAGCAATAGCAAAGAATTTATTGCATGCCGGCCGTAACCACTCGTGATCCTTCAGTCTATGAACCTATTAGTGTGACCTATGGTCGAGCCAAAGAGTATAGTAGGTTTGGCCAAAGACAATTTTTCTAAATGAAGGTAAGTATAACTTAGAGTCATTACCATGTTCTTATTCAAAAATAAAAATTATCAACAATTAAAATAACGAATTATTTGTATGAAGGTCACGTGAGCGCTAGAGAAACGATTGTAAGACGTTGTTGACAAATAAAATGTTTAATGAAATAGTACAGTAAAAAATAGAATTTCACATTGCACGAAATTTCGATTCAATTTTTTTATGAGGTTTAGGATCACTTATTCAGCATAAAATCACAAAATGCCGACAGATCCAGGTGGCGCTTCAAGCCCAATCTTGAAAAAACGTTTTCAGCCGATATTTCGGTAACTATGCACTGTAAGGCAAAAGTTATACAAACCATTATTGTAGAAAATAAAATTTCGCATCTTTTGTTTCCAGCAAACTTTTTTATAAAACTTACCGTTTACGATTTATGGCCCATTTAATGAACAGGTGGCGCTTCAATCGCCATCTTGAAAAAACGTTTTCAGCCGATATCTCGGAATCAATGCACTTTAAGACAAAAGTGATATAAACCATTATTTTAGAAAATAAAATTTCGCATCTTTTGTTTCCAGCAAACTTTTTTGTAAAACTTACCGTTTACGATTTATGGCCCATTTACTGAACCGGTTTTTCTATCGCGGCCAATAACTCTTGAAATATTAGATTAATCAATAAAATGCATAAATTTATTTTGAAAGATCAGTTTATTTTCCAACTTTTTTTTGAAACTTTTTTTTCTAACATAGCATAGCTGCCCGCGTAACCCGCCGAGCTTTTGCCGACGCTCGGCAGGTGACGCGGCAGCTACTTTATGATTAAGAACCCGGATTTTATTGCTATTATTTCGGGGAATTCCAAGTAAGACGTCATTATTGTTTACTAACTACGACTTACGGAGTCTCATTTTTGAAATTCGGGTTATAGAGTATAAATATCTATTATCAATATTTCGTAGGGAAATAACATTTTCTTCAAGTTACAAAGTCTAATAATTCGAGATACCGCATATTTAGGGGTTACTGAGGATTTCAACTTAACGAGGTTAGAGTTATAGAGATTTCACTGAATATCATAACACGCATATAATTTTTTAAGTAGAGCGTGTCTATCAGCAACTTAATATTACAAAGTTTTTAAGTTTATATGTGAACTATATAATAATTATTTTTAAATGTTATTTATAATCTTATCTATAGTTTCGAGTAAACTTAGTGATCATATACTCTTTGGTTCTAAGGTGTCCCTCTAAATATTAGTATACTCTTTGGCGCGGTCTAACTAAAAGACATTGATGACTCCATGTGGAAACTCCGAGCCTATAAGGGTAAGTCGAACCGCACTTTACACACTATGGCGGCGCGATGCGGCGCTGCAGCGGAGCGGCGCGGCTCTTTTATCGACCATTACGTGACAAGATTTCATTTGAGATGGACGAAAGCATTGAAGAAGTAATTGTGGTGTCTTGCAAAAATTATTAAATACTAGCTATTCGTTCCCGTGGTTTCACCCGCGGCTAAATGAGTCCCCGTGGGAATCAGGTATTTTCCCTTAGTAAAAATAGCCTATGTCCTTCCCAGGGTCTCAAACTATCTCTATTCCAAATTTCATCAAAATCGGTTCAGCCGTCTAGGCGTGAAAGAGCAACAGACAGACAGAGCTACTGTCGCATTTATTGTATTAGTATGGATTATTTTTTCTGGTTTGGTTCATGTAATGTTCGCTTTCTAAGTCATATAGTTCAGGATAACCACTAACAAGACATATTAATTTTTCCTCGTCCATCGTGCGCCGGCCTGCTCGCTCGCTGGTTGATCTTGAACTGACCAGAGTTTCCTCCGCGTCGCGCCGCTAGCTATACCGCACTAGCGGCAGCGGCGCGGCGTGACGCGACAAAATATTCTCTCGGACCCAACTCTGCCGCGCCGCGCCGCGCCGCGCCTCGCCGCTATAGTGCGGTTTGACCTTAAGCGATGCAGCCACACGACAACACACGACAAACAAAATCACGCCATCTCTGTAAATAAATGGGAACATTCAATAGGTACTACTAAGTAACCCGAATGCTGTGAATTATATTATTAATTATTATGTTTATTTTTCTAGTTGCAAACCTAACGGTATGAATTTATTGTTATTATACCTACTAACTGATCTCTCATACTAATAACATATTAGTTTTGTTATTTTAAGCCTTACTTTATGGCGCAATTTCATTAGTCGATAACTCGTTCGGTATACAGCATGCGGGGACTCCCCGCATGCGAGAAAACAACCAATGAAAGTTGCAAGTCGATATACAGCTTTGCGGGTCTTGAGTCAAATATTTCGTACGCAGTGTTGCCACTTTAGTGATTTTGTCGCTAGATTTAGTGAATTTTAGAATCTGGTAGAAATATTTTGTAAAAAAAATCACTAAAAGATTATTGAAACTGAACAGTGAAATTGCGCCATTATTTAAATTCCGGGTATGGGGCATGCGCAGAAAGGGAGTGGATGAGCAGGCGCAGTTTATTTTTCTTCTGAATATCTGATTAGCAACAATAGCTGCATCAGCTGCATGTCTATTTTTTTGATGTCTATCTGGTTGGGGCCGTCCAGGATATGATCACAAACTGCAAACTTCCCTGAACTTTGATGCTTCACGTCAGCTCGCTTCAAGATGTAGCCAATCTTGTCTGTGACACCACTGACAAATGCTACTACTGCACATGCTTGACTGTGGCAGGCTTCACTCGGTCACTGTGACGTAAGCGCGGGCCCGAAGCTTGTTGACGTGCAAAACCTACTTGACGTGCTGAAGCTCGACGGCCAGATGTTTGCTGCCACAGATCCGTTGTGCTCTCTGTAACAAAGATTTGCTCATGTTAACTAACTGTGAAGGATGATGGTGAGATTCATTGTTTTCTATACACAGTGTGACCTATGGTGTTGTTAGAATTTTGGATGACTAACGCATCTAGTAAAGCTAAGGAATTATTTGCCTCTAATTTACACGTCAATACATCATTCAGGAACTGAGCAGGAAGCAAAATATTAGTCTGATGCTGTGCCCAATCCAAATATCATATTACTGTCATAACATGGGCACAGCATCCAACAGTTCGACGGCTGACAGTACTTTTTAATTGCACTTCTACCACAATCATTGCCACTAATTAAAATATATATAAAATACACTTTACGACTAATGGTGATGACTTGCAATTCTAGCCCTAAGTAAAAATCAGCTAGGGCTTAAGTTTATTCCTTCCATAATGCTGCTCCTCTGGTTATTACAGAGTTCTATCCGGTAGCAACCATTAAATCTTATATGCTCACCATAATAGTAGCGAGCTTGCTTTAGTTGGTAAGTGACACAAGCAATTAATATTAAGTTAAAACAGGAAATTCCCTAACATTTTAAAGTCTACATTTATATTTCTAAAGTCTGCCTGCCCTAGCTCTATTTAGATTGTTTTCCTAGCATACTCAGACAAATCATTATTTGTCTCCATATTTTGGTGAACTATTTCAACTATTTCAAGCCGCATAATCCCCGTCCCTTATTTTTGTGTGGAATTTATTAATTATAGCAGCAGCCACAGCAGTCTATCATCAAATGTGTGGAAACCCTGTTAAAGTAATTTTGATGAAATATTTTAAATTCAGTTTTAAAAATGCCATTTACCACCTCTACTACCCATATCGACATAGTCATGGCTCTGGATTTATTAGCATATTGTTACGAGCTTGAGTTTCGTGACAATAAAAATTGCCGATAGAATTACCTAAATTAACACTTTAATTTTCTTTACACAAATTAAAACTTGAACACCAATAATTAATCACACTGATTCACTTTATTCCGCTCCGAAGCTTCGCTTGTCTCGCCAAATTCAATACTTCCCCGATCGCGTATTGCAGCGCCTTTATATAGGGCTCTTCCACGAAAATATCCAGAATATTCAAGTAAATACGCGCGCCAACCGACCAAGCGCAGAAAATTCGAGTCTCAGCTTCTAGAAGCTTAGTTCTTCGTTTCGACAACAGATGCCGCTGTCGGTTGAAAGATTAGTGATGTCATTTTCTGGAAAGCTCTCTTCTCGCTCTGTTACCCGACACTAGATGGCGCTAGTGCCAGATGTCAACTTAGCCGCGCAACACTGCCCCCTCCTAAGACATGCTCGTCCCGAGCATTATCGGCCCCATAATAACGCGCCAGGCGATCCACATGGACGATCTTAGGAGTCCCTCTTGCGCCTTTCTGTATCCGGTAGGTTACATCGTTGATCCTGGTCACAATCCGGTACGGGCCGTCCCATTTAGCTTGAAGCTTAGGAGATTTCCGTTTGCTGCGAACTGGATTGTGCAACCACACTAGTGAACCTTCGTCGAACCCTTTGTTGTTCATTTTGCGGTCGTACCGGGTTTTCATCTTTTCAGACATTTGCTGGCCCGATTGTCTGACGTGCTCATAAATGTCATTAATTTTGTTCCGCAAGTTATTTGCATAATCGGTTATACTGCGTGGAGCATCAGGTGGTATCCCGGTGATCAGGTCCGCAGGCAGCTGTAATTCTCTCCCAAAGTTTGCGAAAGCTGGTGTCACTGATGTACTTTCATGAACAGCGCTTCGATATGACAACAAAAACGGTTGTATGTGCTTGTCCCAATCTCGTTGCCGATTGTCTACAACTTTTGCTAGGTACCTCTCCAATGTCTGATTAAATCGTTCTACCATTCCATCAGATTGCGGGTGATAAGAAGTCGTTCTTGTTTTATGAGTACCCATAACTCGGCAAGTTTCCTGGAATATTTGAGACTCAAAATTCCTTCCTTGATCGCTGTGAATCTCTAAAGGTACTCCAAAACGACATAAGACTTCATGAACTAGTTTTCTGCAACAGTTGAAGCTTCTTGATTTGGAATGGCGAAGACTTCTGGCCACTTAGTGAAGTAATCCATCACAACCATGAAATACTTGTTACCGCTTTCACTCTCCGGAAGCGGGCCCGCCACGTCAATGGCTATTCTCTCCCATGGTGCACTCTGAGGTCCTTTTAGAGCCGCACAACTTGTACATTTGCGACCAATAAAACCGTTCTCGGATTCTTCAGTAGAGTTCGTTTAACTCCCAGATGGCCTCCTGAACAATCATTATGGTACAGCTGTAGAACATCCGGTACTCTAGCTTTAGGGACGACCATTTGCAAATAACAGCTGTCTCCCCGAACATTTTCCCATTTACGGCACAGGACTCCATCCTGAATCAGCAAGCTGTCCCATTGGGCCCAATAGCTTTTCGTGGTTGAACCCATCGCTGAGACGTCCCCCCACTTAGTCTTGGTAGCACGGGCCTTCATCCATTCCAGAATCGGCTTGATGTCCGGATCTTCCTGCTGTGCATGTCGTAGGCTGTCCTTCCACTCGTTGCTGAGGTGGTCTGTCCTGAGCATCCTCACGGATACCACGTCCTTACTCTCTTGCCTAGTACAATGTTTCCGATCTTCAGCAGAAGGTCTTCTTGACGATGCATCTGTGTTGCCATGAGATTTCCCGCTGCGATGTCTGATAGTAAAGTCGTATCCCGGCTGCTGCTGAGCGGTGATGTTAGCCGCACTTCCCTTCTGAGATCGTTCACCTTCCCTTTCTAGGGTTCGCTTAGGGCAGCTGGATCGAAGATGGCCCCTTTCCCCGCGGATCCCACAGCCATAGCACCTAGGGCTGAATCCTTTGTTGCGGTCGCGAACTGTAGCTGCTGCGATCTCCCTGACGCGATGGGAAAGATGATCCTGCCGCACGGCTTCTACCTCCAGTGCATGGGCCAAGGCGTCCTTAAGCGTCTCGTGGTGCCCGAGCCTCACAGCAGCTCTTACTTCCAGGTCGCGGATGCCGTCTATGAATATCTGCACCAGGTTCCCTTCAATGAGCGCAGGTACAGACCGGTATGTTTTCCGCACCAGTTTCTCCACCTCTAGAGCCCACTGCTGCAGGTTTTCGTTGATGCGCTGCACGCGATCTTTAAGCTGCGCACGAAAGACGTGTTCCAGGTGAGCGTCGCCATATTTCGCCTCCAATGCCTTAAGGTGTTGCTCATAAGTCACTTCCTCACCGAGGGCTTCCAGAACTGTTAAGGCCTGGTCGCGTAGGCCTAGTGTGAGAGCAGTCATGGCCTGACTTTTATTCCAGCCGTTCGCCTTCATAACAGCCTCGAACTGGATTTTGTAGGCTGACCAGGAAGAAGTCCCGTCGAACGGTGGCACCTTGAACCCACGTTGCGAAGGTGTAGTAGCTACTATGGGAGCTGTAGTTCCATCCCCAAGTTTGAGTTCGTGCAGTGATTTCTTCATGTCAGACATTACGTTGTCAACCCGATTGTTCACTTGGTCGATTCGGGTTTCAGCTTCCGACAGGCGGTTGTCATGTTGAGCAACCTTATCCTTCACCTCCCTTATCTCTTTCCCGAAGGTAGCGTGAATGTCCTTCATGAGGAGCCTCTGCTCTTTCTTATCGCGCTTGAGCTGCTCTTCCAACCGACGGGCCTGTTCCTCCTGTCGGCGGGCCTGTTCTTCCTGTCGGTGAGCCTGTTCATCCTGTCGGCGAGCCTGTTCCTTCTGCTGCTCTTTCAACCAACGGGCCTGCTCCTCCTGTCGGCGAGCCTGTTCTTCTTGTTGCTCTTTCAACCAACGGGCCTGCTCCTCCTGTCGGCGAGCCTGCTCCTGCAGCATCACCATCAGAGTACCTAATTCAGGTGCTGCAGATGTAGGAGCTACTGACGGGCCTGCAGCCGGCGGCTGGCCCTCCAACGTCTGCGGCGTTGCACCACCAAATCTTCTTTGGTCCGTCTCCTGCTGGCGTTGACTTCGGGTACGGACACCCTCCGTTTCCTCCTTAGGTAAAATCGGCATGATTTTAAACCACATCTGACACCAATTAAGTTGGTATCCACACCTAGAACTAACAATTGGGAGGGTAAGGAAGCTCATGTGGGTTTTCAAATCTCTGAGAAACGTGATGAGTACCAAGCTGCTGAATAAAATATATATCGTACTAGCCCAGTCTGTAATAATCAACTGCATATCCGTATGGGGAGGAGCAGCTAAATCATACTTTATAGATTTAGAAAGGGCGCAAAGATCCTTGATTAAGATAATGTACTGTAGGCCCTATAGGTTTTCCACCGAAACCCTATACCAAACATCTAAGCTGCTCTCCGTTAGAAAACTTTATATTTTACACATGATACTAAGATATCATAAAACGTTACCATTTGACCATACCAAACTTACGAAAAGGCGGTGCGATATCGTGGCTCCCTCATACCCTGCACGTACAGTATTTGCCACTCCACAAAATATATCTCAATCTCCTCATGCCTATAACAACATCAACCGCTTACTTAAAATTTACCCAATGCAAAAGTTTGAGTTTAGAAAAACTCTGACCGAGTGGCTCTATACTCTTAATTATGATGATGTGGAAAACATTTTGGTCAAAAAGAGATGAACCAGTTTTAAATAACACACACTGACACAACAAATCACAGGTTATGTGATACATTTATAAACTTGCACTCATCCTCACCCACTCATACACGCACACACACACACACACACACACACACACACACACACACACACACACACACACACATACACACACACACCCCCCACACACACGCCATACACGCATACACGCGCGCGCACACACGCACACACACACACACATACATACACACACACACACACACACACACACACACACACACACACACACGCACACACACACACATCATAACCTAACACACTACGGACACAACTACTCAGGTATACATTTCTCCTAAGCTTCTTTCTTTCATTTTAAAATGCATGAATAACTAATATTAAGTTTAAAATGTTTATATTTTTTGATGTAAATCTAAAATGATACGATTACGTAGGAAGAGCGAGACTCTCCCAACACAAGTATCTTATGATTACTTTCTGGGAGGCCTCGGCAAATAGCTGTAAAATGATTTACTGAAATAAAACATTTTTAATTTTAATTTTAATTGTTACGAGCTTGAGGTTCGTGACAATAAAAATTGCCGATAGAATTACCTAAATTAACACTTTAATTTTCTTTACACAAATTAAAACTTAAAACACCAATAATTAATCACACTGATTCACTTTATTCCGCTCCGAAGCTTCGCTTGTCTCGTCAATTCATACTTCCCCGATCGCGTATTGCTGCGCCTTTATATAGGGCTCTTCCACGAAAACATTTCCAGAATATTCAAGTAAATACGCGTGCCAACCGACCAAGCGCAGAAAATTCGAGTCTCAGCTTCTAGAAGCTTAGTTCTTCGTTTCGACAACAGATGGCGCTGTCGGTTGAAAGATTAGTGATGTCATTTTCTGGAAAGCTCTTTTCTCGCTCTGTTAACCGACACTAGATGGCGCTAGTGCCAGATATCAACTTAGCCGCGCAACAATATCTTGTGATTAACTGAGATTCACCATCTGCTGGAGACATTGCTGCGACCTTTAGACATCCACATCTATCCTCGATTACAAATCAAAATGCAGATGCGTTGTCACCCGTGAGGACTAAGATCATTTTCTCGTTTCCGGTAAAAAGTGTGTCCGGTTCTCTACACTCACCATACAAAACACAGCAGCATTAAGCTACTATTTCACGCTGGTATTCTGTGAGAGCGTGGTCCTTCCCCGTTCGAGCCGACCCATTCATGCTACAACTATACTTCTAATATAACTGCAGCATGGCTCTACCACGTATAACACACATACATAGTAATTGTCACCATGTATGTTTGTTATCGCAAAATGTAGTTAATCACAAAAGAGACATACTCGCAATGCTGATGGAACTGTTACAACCAGGTAAAATACATTGTGCTTTTAATGTATGATCTAAGCTTTGTTGTTCTGGGTGCAGCAATACATTACTCACTTCAGATTGCAACGAGGACGGACTAGATGATTCAGATGGTTCCCGTTCTGCAGATGAACGTGATGCTGTTCTATCAGTTCATTGCCAGCGATTATGATATACACGGCATGACAACGGCAACTGAAATAATGTAAAATACAAAAAATTAAGACAAAGTGAAAAAATAAAAATAAAATAGATTTGTTTATTTCAAACTCAAATATAAATAAAATATTTATCAAGTTAAATGTTACTGCACAAGGACGGATTTAATGCCCTATATTATTTAATAATTAAGGCCTGACGGACTACCAGCAGTCCAAAAACAATGAAAAATCAACTGTCGCCTTTCTTGGTAGTTGATAAAAATGGTCAATCTCATAAATAAGCTAGTATGTTTGTCAGATATAGCTAGTGCAGATGTGAAAAAGTAAAACAAGTTCTTGAGTTGATATACAATCAGTGTAAAAACATGTATAATTTTCAGATATGAGGATCACATTTAATAAATTGAAAAATGTTAAACACTTACCTGACATGGCGCAAATTGTTCCTCACGTGGAGAATCGAATCCAAACAATGTGTGTGATCTTATTCTCATAAGTGTCAGTGCCACAGCTGATGTATACATGTTCAAGACGAACTATTGTTGCATTTTGCGAGTGGCACACTACACGTTCACTGTAATCGAAACTTGTAAAAAAAAAAGGGTGAACTGGGTTGTTTTTGCAGTAATTTACAATAATTTGCCGATTAGCATATTTTTTTGATATTTATTTGAAGTAAATTTTTTTTTCTTCAAAGTTACAAGTATTTCAACAAAAAATTTGATAATGTAAACGATAAACAATATTATTGGCCTCCGAATGAGTTAATTTTTATCTCAGTAGGACTAAAACTTTAAGAGATACGACTTTTTTCGTAAACGCGTAGAGAATATCTCAAGAGAAAAACAAAATGGCTGCCAAATAGAGGGGGGAGGGGATTAGACCTCAGTGTGTAGTGTATTTTTATATTAAAATAGCTGTATTATAAGTACCTAAAATATCGCTAGTCCGTGACCGGACACACTATATATATATACAGGTTGGTGGAAAAATTTGAAGACTTCTTTGAGATTTTTTCTTTTTGCAAATGTGTCTTCATAAGTTGTCCTTTTACGCATAAAATAATCAACTTCGTATCTTTCCGGATTCCGGATGTTGCGGGGAAAGACACAAGTTTTTTAACATGATATTTGCCATTTACATTCCAGATGTTTCCATGGATGTCTTTAAAAGGATGAAATTCTGTCAGTAATAGAGTTCCGTCTGCTGGACACATGATTGTCCCCTTAGCATCCACTAGGTTGTAATGAGATGCTGGGAAAGGAAGGTTCATGATAGCAATATTAACATACCGATCTGCAATTAGAACATGTAAATCAAGGTGGGCTGATGCTGTAGAGGTAACTGTATTGACTTTAAGTGAATGACTGACTGAATTAATATTTTCCTGAGAAACTTAAATAATAAATTATGAGAGACTAAAAATATTCTTAGGTATGATTTTCGTAACAACTATTGCACATATACTTGCAATGGTCGGGATAAGTAAATTTTGAAATTTAAAAAAACGTAAAAAAGTTTTATTAAGTTTTCTTCCACACAAAAAGTAGCGACCACGCGCGCCTCCACGAGGGGAACTCGCCACTTTTTGTGGTTGTTCGTCCAATGGAATACGCAAAAAATCGCTTATTTTTAGCTTGAGGATCTTCGGTATACAATCAGTACTCATTCTTCTACTAGCCAAAGGTTTCATCATACCCAACGCAATATCAGAAAGAAACTCTCGACGCAATATTTTTATTAGTCCATTGTTTGCTTTCTATGTGCATAAAGCATTTATGGCACTTATATTCATCAAATTAAAAAAAAAAAAACCGTCAGCGACCATCGCCGTGAGTTTCTGGCCACATCATACAAGGAACACATTTTGTCCACTAAGTCTACTCCATTTTTTGTTCGATTATAATATGTAATAATATCTGGTTTACGTTTGTCACCAGAACTCTAGTCAATACATCCATCATTATGTACAGTTGACAAAAGTAATACAACCTTATTCTTTTTTGGCACATAATATGAAACTAAGGTAGTGTTTTCATGAAAACCAAACAAAGACGAAAATTCAGTTCTGTTTGTAGTTGTTCGGAATGCCTTCGGTACCTCTCTTTTATCCTTTCTAATTGTACCAACGACAGTGGTTTTATTTTCAAAAAGCTTCTTAGCTACTTCGAGAGAAATAAACCAGTTGTCCATTGTTACGTTTCTATTTTCACCATGAATAGGTTCAGTGACTCTTAGAACTACGTGAAACCGATTATTACTTACTTCGAAGGGACCGGGGCTACTGCCTCCATATATTTCCAAATTGTATGTGTATGGACGTTCACAATCGACCAGGGCAAATATTTTGATCCCATATTTCGCTGGTTTGTTGGGAATGTATTGCCGAAATCGGCACCTGCCTCTGAACGCTATCAATTGTTCGTCTAAAGTCGGTTCAGAACTTGGTGTATAATGTTTTTGAAAATTTTTGACAATTTTCTGAAATAAATCACGAATAGGTGCCAACTTGTCAACCATTATCCTTTGCGCTCTCGTTGTAGGATCATCGAAACGAAGGTTTCTCATCAAAAACTTGAACCTTTGTACATTTATTGTAAGATAAACAGCTTCCAGCCCGGTCCCTTTCTTAGCGTCAAACAACTGCAAGATATTTTCCCTTCCAGATTTTACACTCCCACAGAGATATAAAATGCCCAATAGGCCTTTTATTTCTAACTCATCAGTTATTTTCGCATCTCTATCCCTTGAATATTTATTTTGCTCAATTAGTATACGTTTATTTGTGGAATCCGTTATCATAGCTACAATTTCATCATCAAGAAAGAGAGACAAACAATCTAGAGAAGTAGCCTTCGTTTTCGCTATTTCTCGAGGACCTGATTGTACATGTACGATGTTGTGTTGGCGCATCAAACGTCGAGAACGAACTTGTTCTTTCAGCCATCTAGTATTGTCAACACCTTGGTAAAATAAATTTGATAGTGGTACCTCGTCCTCAACCGTGAATAAGTGTGCGGGGCTTGCGGAACTAGCAAATGTTTGGTTCAACTCAAATTCACCTAAATCATGGTCACCATCTTCTTCTGAGTCCGTATTTTCGCCCTGGACTTCTAGGTGATCCGACTCTTCGTCATCAGAACATGGAGTACCCTCTAAAATGTCCTCATCTTCCTCCAATAACCATAACTCGATTTGCTGATCTCGGTTTGCCATTTTTAGTTCTAAAATAAAAATTAAAAACAAATTTTTTAGCAAAATAGCTATAAGAAATTACTAATTTTATTAAATACATATTATTCACTATATATAAATATATCATAACAATTACAAAATCGTTAAAAAGGTTTAAAATTGTCGTCACAAAATACTTACGTAACCAGTCGCGCGCATGACATGTGTCCTCCACCTACGAATTTGCACTTATCCTGACTCAATCGTACCACGCAAGTGCACGGCAGTTACTGACGTCACGCAGCGTACTATGAGCAATACTAAACTTGGCGCCGGCGATGTGTTGCCATATAAAAATCAAGAATTCCTGGCCATTTAGTCAGCGTGGATGACTAATGTCATCCGCGCGACCACTCTAGGGTTAACTTATGTTTAATTTGTCTTTACCTTTTCTGACAGCCCTACCAAAATAGGTAAAATTTTGCACGTTCTTAGGAATCTTTGTCTTTGTTCCGTTTATCTTCTCATGTGGGTGACACTGTGATTCTGTCAGGTAACATTTGTGATATTTTTTACCTCTTTTTGTAATAGGTAAAAGTTCACTTATGTCATTTCTGTATGACATTATATGGATATCATTTTGCGTCTCGTATAGCCATTTTGAAACCATCTCAATCAAAATGGAATTTTTGTTTTGGCCACCACAGCCATCGGCCTCAAGCTTGACAATTTTCCCCCCTCCATTTTTAAACTTTAAGCAGTGATAGACTCAAGGTGCTATTTCGTTGGAGCTTTTTGGCGCCTTGTCCTCAGTCCAAACATAAGATAAGACATTTTCATGTGTTAAATTTTTCTTTCAATTGCCCACAACCTCCTGCCTCGTATAATATGTTGATTGGTCTGGTATCCTGGGCATAGGTAGATTTTTTGACAGTCAAATGAAAGGATAAGTATATCCTGATCTTCATATTTCAAACGCTGAAAAAGCAGTTTGCTTTCATTTTATGGATTCTGTATTGTGCACGTATGTTTTCCTTTTCAATGCCGTTTGGACATCTTTTCTTTTTTTCTTAAATTTGAAGGTAATCGGAGCAAACATCTTGTCGAGGTGTTCCAAATCTTATGCTAAAAATGTATTGAATACCTTTCTGAAATAAGATTTGATTACCGAGAATCCGGGTGTGGTTGATCTTCAAACATTTTGTACATCTTAGCAATAAAAGGTGTTTTTCGTTTTTAGATGTTAAATAAAAAACAACAATATCAAATAAAACTTGTTTTATTTATTGTTAAATTAAAGAGCAGTTCTTGAAGTTTATTTATGAAAAAAAAAACCGTTTGCAAATGCGCACCGTTCAACTGTTCACGCTCATTTAACTTAGTGCTTAATTTTCAATCACTCGCTGGAACACCGCTCTTGGAATAGAGTTGATTTCTTCAGTGATTCTTTGCTTCAAAACATTTAGGTTGGGTGGCAATGGATGGTAAACTTTACTTTTTAGGTAGTAGCCCCATAGGATAAAATCAGCAGGCGTTAATAAATCAGGGCTCTTCGGTGGCCAGTTGATGTCTCCTCGGCGACTTATCACTCTTCCATAAATCGTGAAGAGCAGCTAATGAGTCATTTAACATGAGAAATGGCTCCATCTTGCTGGAAAAAGGTATTGTGGTAGTAACCATACTGTTTTTGCATTTCTGTAACCAAAAAAGTCCGGATCATATGGCAAAATCTATAAGAATTAACGGTCTGAGTTCGACCTCGGTCATACTCAAAAAAATAAGGACCGATAATTCCTTGACTTGATATGCCAGCCCAAACAACAACTTTTGACGAGTGCAAGTGTTTCTTATGCAGTTCTAGCGGATTTTCTGCAATTTTCTTTATTCACTTGACCATTGATGTGAAAGTTTGATTCGTCGGAGAACCAGATGTTATTGAAACTCCTAAAACGGTTTTTTATTGTACTGCAGAATTCGACTCGTTGATCAGGATCATTAGGCTTCTTTATTTGAACAATAACAATTTTATAGGGGTGAAAATGTAAGTCTTTCGAAATAATGCGATGAACCGTAGATTTTTTCAAATTAACCCATATATACCCAGAACTATTTTTGAATTCTGATTTTGATTATTTCAAGATATGTTTATGCTGATAAGTCCTTATATCAGTATTGACTAATTTTAGTCAAAAATATTTTGGGTAAGTAGGTATTTCTATGTGGGTAGTTGTGATTGCAACACGTAAAACTGTAATCTCTCAAGTTATAATTAAAATAAATACATAATTCGTAAAATATTATATTTCAAGATCTAGTAATGAAAAATTAGCTTGAACTACCTGTCTGTGAGTGTTTACTACTTAATCCAACCACAATTACAATAATTTTTACTTTTATAACCTCTGTCAATTCTTCATTATACCATGGACCCTACAATTAAAAACACTATGTCCAGTTTGATGGAGGTGTTTCATAAAAGGATGAATGATTTTGAAGAAGAATTGCGGAAAACGCCCAGCACATCCACCAGTACTACTTCTTTGGTAGCTGAGTTTGCATCTTTCAAGATATTTGTAGGGCAGGCACTAAACAGTCTTCAGCAGCAGATGGAATTACTTGCTCGTAATGCTGACAGCATGGAAATACGAAGCCGAAGGAAAATGTTACTGCTTCATGGTGTACCAGAGATTGCAAAAGAAGACACCGCTTTGGCTGTCACCAATGTTCTCCAAAATCAGTTGAAATTAGACAACGTCTCTGTCAGTGATATTAAGCGTTGTCACAGATTGGGTAGACCAACAGCTCCTCACAAGCCTCGGCCAATTTTAGTGAAATTCCTAGATGTAGGGTTGCGTGATAAAGTCTGGTACGCAAAATCCCAACTTAAAGGCTCTGGTACCACAGTATCCGAATTTCTCACCAAGCTTCGGCATGATCTCTTTGTAGCTGCCCGTGAAAAATTTGGTATCTCCAAATGCTGGACCAAAGATGGATCTGTATACATTGTGAAACCTGATGGAACCAGACATCGTGTTACCTGTCTGAACGACATCAGCAGAATCGATTGCCAGACAAGCCCAAAACCAGTAACGAAAACTACAGCTGGGAGGCCCAAGCGAAACGCCGTTGTGAAGAAGTGTTAAGTGTTAAGTGTACAGGATTTGCCGTGCCTAAATGCCATTTTTTTAATGCTTTACAATTACAATAAATATCTTGTGAGACTTATTTCTTTGTGAATGTGTTATAAGCTAGTGCAAAACCCTCTCATCATCATCAATATAGGGAGGCCTGTGCCCAGCAGTGGGACGTATGTAGACTATACCTTATGTTTTGTGCAATTTTTTTTAACCATTGAATCTACATATAATAAGCATAGTAATTATTAACCCCACTTTCCATTTATTATACCATAAAAATGTTTACAAATTGACAATGTGAAACATTATTATTACTAACTGACAATGCGAAACATTATCATTACTTATTGACAATGTGTAACATTATCTTAAATCTGCTAGGAGTAAAAGTATTCTGTACATTATTGTTGTGACTTTTTTATTTTTATTTAACTGGCTTCACGGTTCTGGGTTCCAGCCCTTCTGAGCCATTGTTGTGTACGTTATTATAGTACTCTTATTAGTTTGTGTTGCGAATACTACGTTGTACCACAGATGATGTTAACACTAATATCACAATTATAAGGTTATGTAGCGCTTTAACGACAACGTAATGTTAACAAACGCATTGTCAGTTGCGTTTCCTATAACGGTGTTTGTTTTGTGCACTTATTGATTTTTTTTTCTTTCTTTTACTTAAACCTTGATATTATTAATCCTCTTTTTTATTTTCTATTTAGTAGTAGTGTCGTAAGATATTGTACTTAAACTGTATTTATAAAAACACTCAACTGGCAGGTGGACACTAAAATACTTTTTTATTTTATTTTTATTCGTTTTTGTTGTTCTTAGTTTTAGGAAATTTATTACCTTATTTTTTAATTGTATTTTGCTTATTGTACGTTATATTTTTCACATATAAACATTAATAGTTATTTTGTAATGTCATTCTTAGACATTAGTAGTAATACTGAAACTGCAGTTAGTGATGATGGCAATATCCCTAGCTTACAGCCTCTCTCTGAAATTCTAGCTTCACAATTTTCTGATGTTCCCAATAATTTCAACGTCGTTCACATTAATGCCCAAAGCATTCCGGCTCACTTTTCAGATATGCTGGCTACCTTTGATTCTAAGAATATTCATGCTATTCTCGTTTCTGAGTCATGGCTTAAGCCTTGTCTTCCTTCCACAAATTATTCTTTACCTGGCTTTCACCTCATAAGAAATGATCGTACTGTTGGCGGTGGTGGAGGTGTGGCAATATATCTCCGTGCGTATATTCCCTTTTCTGTTGTTGATATGTCATCTCAACCAACTCCGCTTAATGCAGGTGAACATCTTTTTATTGAGGTGAAGCTTAGTCACACGAAAATTTTGCTGGGGGTATATTACTGTCCTTCATCTCGAATTGACTTCTTCACTTCCTTCGAAAATATTTTAGAAAATGTATCCTCTTATTCGCACACGATCATTATGGGCGACTTTAATACTTGTCTGCTTAAACAAGACTCACGTTCATCCTCTCTTCGATCTATAGTAAATTCCACTAATCTCTCTATTTTACCTTTAAATTCTACTCATCACTTTCCTAATGCTACTCCGTCATTGCTCGATCTTACCTTTGTAGCTCCTGAACTCGCTGTTAAGCATGGTCAGTGTTCAGCGGATGCCTTCTCTTACTACGATCTTATATTTCTCTCTTATAATGTCCGGCCACCTAAAATTAAGTCTAAGTTTCTTCTGCAACGCAGTTTTGGTGGTATGAATATACAAAATCTTTGCGAAGATGCTTCCAACATTGATTGGTCAGCCGTTTTAAATGCAGAATCAGTTGACGATAAAGTTGCAATATTTACGACTTACCTCACCTGTCTCTATGATAAACATGCACCAGTTCGCGTAATTAAAATGAGACATCGCCCTTCACCATGGCTGACTGATGAAATAAAATCCATTTTAAATAAAAAAGCTGCAGCCAAGACAAAATATAAATGTAGGCCTACATCTATAAACTGGGAAAAATATGTCACTATTCGAAATCACTGCAATAGGGTATGTAGGGACGCTCAACGCCACTATATCCATAAATCAGTACAAATTGGTGATGCGGCTAAAGTCTGGAGTTTTCTTAGATCAATGGGGGTTGGAAAGTCTCGTAATAATGTACTCTCTAAAGATTTAAATATTGATATACTAAATCAGTTCTTCTCATCCTCGTCCAACTTAAATGGGACTACAAAATTTAACACATTAAATTTTCTTTCATCGCTTCCAACTCCTGATCATCCATCTTTTGTCCTAAATCAATTTTCTGCTTGTGATGTTAAGAAGAGTACTCTATCCATTACTTCGAATGCAATCGGCAGCGATTGTATCAGCCGTAATATGATCCTTCCGATTCTTGACATAATCATCCCAATACTTTGCCATATCCTAAACTCCTCGATTTCTAGTGGTGTTTTTCCAACAACTTGGAAAGACGCTCACATCATACCGTTGCCTAAAAAACCTAACCCTACATCTTTTTCGGAATATCGTCCTATATCTATTTTGCCATTCCTGTCCAAAGTTCTCGAACGCTTGATATATAATCAGCTCAACGCTTTCCTCCACAATCATTCCCTTCTAAATCCTCTACAATCCGGTTTTCGCCCTGGGCATGGTACTGCTACAGCCTTAGTCAATATTACGGAAGATATTAGATCTGCAATGGAAAATGGCAAGTTAACTATCCTTTCTCTGTTAGATTTTAGCAATGCCTTTAACTCAGTTGATTTTGAAATTTTACTGGGTATACTTAGCTCTCTTAACATATCTCCAACAGTGATTGATTGGTTTCGAAGTTACCTGTCTGGGCGCCGGCAACGTATTCGCATTGATGACACATTTTCTTCTTGGTGTGATACCATTGCTGGCGTCCCGCAGGGTGGCGTATTATCTCCCTTACTTTTCTCAATTTTTATTAATTCTATAGCCACTAAGATTACTTCGTCCTACCACCTTTACGCAGATGATCTTCAAATATATACTCATGTTTCTCCTAGTGAAGTAGATGTAGCTATTAGCAACATAAACAGTGATCTTGAGCAAATATCAGATTGGGCAAAAACATATGGCTTGAAGATTAACCCCCTAAAGACTCAGGTAATTATCATCGGAAGTTCGTATATGATTGGAAAATCTAACATATCTCAAGCACCTCAAGTTGTTTTTAATGGAAATTTTATTCCTGTGAGTGAAAAAGTCAAGGACTTGGGAATTTATATTGACAGTAACCTATCATGGGGTCCTCAAATACAGGAGGTTAGTCGTAAACTCTTTGCAGCGGCCCGATCGTTGAACAGATTAAGGAATTTTCTACCTACTGCCACTAAAATTGCGCTTGCTCAATCTCTTCTTCTCCCAATTGTGAACTATGCAGATGTCAGCTATCTTGATCTCAATGAGAAGCAACTTGATATTGAGCGTCTTCAAAACTTTTGTATAAGATTCATATTTGGTTTGCGCAAATATGATCACGTATCTTGTTTTCGTAATAAGCTCAAGTGGCTTCCTATCCGTCTTCGCCGGAATGCTCATATTCTGTCACTTCTTTACAATGTTCTCTTTAATCCTTCCTATCCTTCTTATCTTAAGGATCGTTTTGAATTCCTTCACTATTCCCATTCGAAAGTTTTGAGATCATCAGAGAATTTTACATTAAAAATGCCTGCCCATAATAGCAAATTTATGGACAAGTCGTTTAGTATCCAAGCAGTCCGTCTATGGAATGCCCTACCTCTGTCAGTGAGACGCGCCCTGTCTTTACCTGTTTTTCAGAAACTTGTACACAGTCACTATCTTAATCTTTGAGTTCGTGCCATTTATATATGTAGTATACATTCGTATTTTTTTTGTATTTATTTGTTGTTTATTTCTAATTATATTATATAAAATAAGGATATTTTTATAAATATTGTTTCTGCATCACCAAACCACACAATTTACTATTTTTTGCGATCCTGTCCATCCAAAGGTTGTCTGGAAGAAATCGCTTTTAGCGATAAGACCGCCCATTGTGACACTATTTTTTTTTCTTCTTCTTTCGTTTATGTATTGATTTGGTGTACAATAAAGAATTATCTATCTATCTATCTATTTTAGGGGTGTTCGAAAACGAAACAACGGGCAAATATCCTACATTCGTTATAGGTAATTAAAACAAAGATGTATAATGAGATTATTTATTACTTATTACTATTTTTACACTAAATTGCAATATAAAATTAAGAATGAAATACAGAGAAACATTTAGAATGTAAATTTACTTTACATTTTTGACAAAAAGTGACTGTAAGGCTTTTGCAATAGGCACATCGCAGTCTACTTGGTGCCCTGCCGATCATGTGCTCAGCGTTATGCTTTCGTACTGATGTAGGTACATTTGTAGATACCCGTTTGCTAGGTCCCGGATGCTGCTTATCATTGCCATATTTTTGAAGCAAGGTTCTGACAATGCTACGTCTAAATTCCAGCGTATCTATATCTTTGGAGAAATTACGAGCTAGTAGGGTAGCATTGTTGACCGCAACGTCTATCAACCAGAAAAGTAACGGGATATACCATTTTTTGCCTCTAATTGCTATTCGATAGGTACTAATGTTTGCATCTAACCGATCAACCCCTCCCATAAAACGATTGTATTGGTGCACATCGTTGGTTGTGGTACATTTACTCTTTGCTTTTGAGCAGCTGAGTATCTCCTTGCAGTTCGTATAGGCTCCACGCCGTATTCACTGGATAACAGAGTAACTACACTATTATCGTTCCAGCGCACTGCACAGATGCCGCTGTTTAGATCGAGCCGGCTGTCATGGTAACCTCGCTGTTCCTTCTTGCATAATTTTTCATATTTCAAAGGACACTTGTCAGTGCGATTACTACGTACTGTACCTGTCACTAAAATATTTTTTTCTTTCATTGCCGTTATCAACGGTAATCCTGTGAAGAAGTTGTCGCAGAAAACTGAGAATCTTGTTTCTTTGTAGACATTCTGAATCTCGGTCATCAATTTTTGCACAACATATTGTCCTAACCCGGTACTAAAAGTTTCATAGCGGCCTTGATATGGGCGGCGTATAAGCAATATACTAAGGGCAAGGCTGCAATCCATGTTTTGAAGCCAAATCCAATAGGCTTACCTCTGATATGCTGCTTACATCCGTGTCTACCATAGTAAGGTATCATAGACTCGTCTATGCTGATGTTCTTTTCGATTACGGCATATTGCAGAAACTTTTTATTGAGTAAATCAAAAAGTGGGCGGACTTTAGCCATTTTGTCATTAGGGCATTGCAAGGGCAGTTGGTATTATCGACCACATGGAAATGCCGAAGAATTTCTTCGAATCGGTTTTTTCGCATGGATTTCGCCAATAAGATATTGTGTGTGTCTTCGTTACTTTCCCAATACATCCGACGTCGCGGCAGTGGAGAATATCCGTTCAATATCAAAATGCCGATGAAACAATAAATGTCATTATCAGAGAGGGTAAACCCTGGATTTCCTTTTTGAACTGCATAAATAACAGAGTGACGAACAATGTGCATGATAATTTCGTGACTAAAAAACAATTCAAAGAAATCAACTGGTTCTGAAGCTTCGGATAAGGTAATTACTGATCTAGGTAATGGTGCAATCCATTCATCATGAAGTTGGGATAAGTTGTTTTACCCATTTTCGGACTACCTTATGCGATCGAGGTGGCGGTGGAGGTGGAAAAGGAGGATTATCTATCAATGACCGGCTCCGCCTACGGTTTGATAAAGACTGTGAGTCAGTCACAGTACGTGACGTAATTGGGCCTAAAGCTTCTTCTTCAGACTCGCTGCCGTCACTGACGTTTTTTCCATGTAGTGTCAGTTCAGCAGGTGCCAAAAGTTGACGACGTGATAAATTTTCAAAACTTACGTTTCTTTCGTCCCCCGAGTCCGAATCTGACACAAGTCCATCACCCGGAGGGTCGATATAAATGTCAGCTGCTGTTGCTTCATCATCCGAAGCTAAATCATTGATAATATCAACGATTTCATTTGTAGTTAACCACGTATTCCACCTAAAACATAAAAACAGATTTAGTAAAAGTCTCACCTGTTTATTTGCCCAACGTATCGTTTTCGAAACACGAAAGTTATAAAGACGTTATAGGTATTTATTATATAGTATTTACTTATTTTAAAAATACGAATAAGATCATTATTTACCTAAAATTACTACAAAAACATATATATATATATATATACAAAGTTTCACTCAATTGAACAAGTACTTACTTCTTTTTGGGAGACGACATGATTTTTGCGCGACGTAAAATAGGACACAACTTGCACTACTGACTATTTAAATCAAGTGTCAACGCTACTCAAAACGCTTCGTTGCAAACAAAAGGTAGTTCCGTAGCCTTGCACTAGATGGCAATTTTTTGCATTTTACTGCGCTAGCAAAGGATTTCCAATGGATTTACGAAAGTACAAAATCTTGTTTCGTTTTCGAATCACGGGGCATATATGGGTTAAGAGAAGCTGGGCGCAATCTCAACGACTGTCGTGGGTCGTCAATAACTGACTGGCGAACGCGGTCGACGTTCATGCCCGTTCTTGATGTCCTTTTGCGCCCAGACGATTTATCCGGCATTGTATTCCCAGTCTCTTCAAACTTGCACATCCAATGCTTAATTCAATTGGCACTTGGCACATATTTTAAGCTTCTTAAATTAAAATGTGTCCTATAGAGACAACGAACAATAATGTACGAATCGTTGATTTTATAAAACGCTCGCACGCAAAATGCGCGCTGCGGTCCCGTGAAATGATTCATGGCTACTAAACTTAACAAGCCGGCCAAGAATTTGAGACCACTCCCCTCCCCCTGCTACCTGCGGTTGGTGGGTATGGGTCAATTCAAAAACGAAAAACATTCTGAGACAGCCTTTATTAAGACACAGTCTCTGGCCAAATTACGGACGCACTATAAGATTCTATGTAAAATTTTAATTACTGTACAGCTTTATTGTTTTTACCAGATATAATGTATATTTTCTTATTATCAACCTTGTTTTCTACTTTATAAACAACACATCATAGTTATAGACAGTAAAATGTTCATATTTTGATGAGCCACTTTTAGCCGCTATGAGGGCTTCAATTCTGTGTGGCATGCTATCAATGCTAGACTGTACTGCCTCCTGCATTTGAGGATGATGATTCCACACATGATGATGATCTTTTCTAAGAGTGGAGCTTTGTTTGTGATCATATCTTTAGCCACTTCTCTCTTCATCAGCCCTCACACGTTTTGAATAGGATTCATATTGGGGCTATTACCAGGCTAATCAAACATAGGGATATTTTGCTCTTCCACAAAAACTTTAACAGACCGTGTTGTGTGACGGAGAGCTCCATCTTGCATAAAATGAATAGTTCTTCATTCAGAAACCATTCTCTGACCTGCGTAATCAACCGATTTTGTAAGACGTACAGACGTCCTGACTGGCCAGATCATCACTTTTGTAGAACTGCTTAACAGTCTGAACGACACAGTCAGGATTAAACTTTTCTCAATAACGATGATGCACAAACAAAGCTTTATTCTGCAAAATTTCAAATGCGCTTTCATCGCTGAAGCAGACCTGTCAAGAATAACAACAATTAATACACATCCTAAACATCTGTCTTGGTCTTTCTTTATTTTATAGAAAATGATATTAAATGTTATAGAGAATGATATGATACCAACTTACCGATCTCTAGAAGTCCACATCTTTACCACGCCACTGTTTGGCCTATTTCAGACCCTTTGCTTTCCTTGAAACTGTTAACTTTTCTTCCTGGCGGAGCGGCAGGTTCTAAAATCTAAATCTTTTATTTTTCTTCGAACAGTGCGCTCAGAAACTTTTAAATTAGCATCATGGAGTTGAGATTTTGTGTTTTGTGTTTACAAATCTGTTTTCCAGGCAAATTTTCTTTAAACATCTTTCTGACCTGGGAGTAAAAATAGGCTTTCTGCCGCAACTTTTCTTTCGTTCCGGGCTCAATTCCTCCCCAGACTCAATCTTCTTCTTTATGCGTCGTACGCTAGCTTCAGTAACCTTCAATCTTCGCGGTTAGAAAATATTTTAGCATTTACGAGGGCTTTTACTTCTGCTTTTATACGTGGTGAAAGATCATCTTTTTTACCCATGATTTAAATGTTTGAATTGATTATTTAAACACTATATAATTGCGAAACAAATAAACACAGTGCATACAGCCACAGAAACTCGTCAACAATTGCAATGCAATACATTAAAAATAAATACAAGTAGGATATATATAGGGTTTCCTGGAAAACAGACGTAAAGTATATTCAAAAATGGTCGATATTATCGAATTTAACATCATCTACAGGTCTGGAACGTGTAGGGTTTTTTATTTTATTTATTTTATTAAGATCTTGTACATTAGCTGCGTCTATAGTTGTCCCCTTTTTCAGCAATGCCTTGTAAATACTTAGCCTAAACTGTTTCAAAAGAATATATTTAGTCTCTCCCTGTCTTTTATTATCCCTTCGGTAAGTGAACTAAGCATTATTAATACATATGTCAAGTAATTGCGAAAAAATCGATAGATACCAGCGCCTGGTCTTCATTTCGGTGCGATATAAAGCTATCAGCATATCTGACAGGTCGACGCCGCCCATATGGGCGTTATAATGCATAACAACATTAGGATACTGTACCTCAATCCTCTGCTTCCTAATTTTGCAGTATCTTCGTACCTTAGTTAGTGGATATGCGTCTGCGTAACTTGAAGCCAGTACAACACATTTATTGTCGTTCCATTTGACCACAGAGAGTTTGGTTTTATTACAAACAGTTTGACTAAAATCCCCTCTGCCCTGAGTTTTGAGAACCTTGTCTGGTTTCAGTTTTTTTTCAGCATCTCTCAGGCGATTTGTACATATTGTACCAGGACTAAATATTCCGTAGAAATTCCTGAGATGGTGTATTAGCTCCAAAGAAGAAAAAAAGTTGTCAAAGTAGACGACACAAGGTTTTTTCTTTATGATTTTACAAAGTCTTAAAACAGCCTTGGCCCCCCAACCTAAGCCTTCTTCTTCCTTTTTAGTTACAGTCCTCAAAATTATCGTTACCAGTATAAAGAAAAAAATCGTAAATAATCCCTGATGCACCTGCTCGCACCAAATTTTTAAAGCCCCATTTTCGTGGCTTGCGTGGGTTATACTGTCTTTTTTCCCCAGCTTTGGTGCATTTATATGGAATCACCATTTCATCTATACTGAATCTAGTCTCTTCTTCTACTTTCAGGCAGTTTTCACGGATTTTTTCCACTACTGGTCTTATTTTAAAATATGTATCGGAGTCAGTATCTGTATTATCTACAAAATGTAGGTATCTCCGTATAATTTGATAACGCTTTAGAGGCATTACATCCGCAACCATTGGGAAACGGGTGTCAGTAGCCCAATAATCCAGATATGAAGGCATGGACACGATACCCGTAATGACTTTAAATGCTATAAATTTGCGCAATTCGGCACCTGACAAATTTATTGATCGGCCTGTTTTCTGAATGGAATACATATTTGTGTAGTGACATATTTCGTCGAACATATCTTCTGAAAAAAAGTCGTTGAAATAATCTAATGTTGTTTTTCCATCAGGTATAGACCTTTCAAACTTATCGGGTACTAATTCGGCACGAAATCGAAAACGTCCGCTTGACCATTGAAATTTGAGGTTGACTTTCTTATTTTTAGTAACAATACAAGGCCTTTTCGAGATCTAGTTTTGCTGACGGGGTCTTTTTCGAGTATAACGATTTGGAAGAGGTGTTGAAGTAGAATTACATGGAGATTGTTGGGGAGAGTCACTTACTTGGTTGATTATAAATGATGGCGTCATAGAAAGTATGTTTGACATTGGAGAAAGTGTTGGTATGGATGTCAGTGAAAAGTTATTTGCTTGGTGGTCATCATTATAATTGTCAGTCTCATCATATCCTGTGTGATCAGTCGGAGCCGTATTCGGATAATTGTCATCGGAAAAATCTATATCGAGCCGTTCTAAAGCAGAGTCAATTGATGGTGCTTCATGACTGAGATGACTCAGAAGTTCGACTTTGAAAGTTGTACACTTCGTCTTCAAGCGCATTCTCAGAGTTCGATGTCCCACTTATATCAGATTGAGCGTTTTCTTGGGGTACAAGGGCCAAAATACGTTTTGACCTCAAATTCTGAAACAAGAATTTTATTTTGCAGGCAAAAAACAAAGCAAGCATTTTATCGCACACAATATACATGTTAATATTGCTCGGAAAGGAATATTATATGGTGGAAATTAAAGTATTGCTTAAAAAGAAAAAAAAGCTATGCATATTATAAATAAAATAAGAACACGAAAGTCCTTATTATTGTTAAGCAGACTTAACAAACAAAACTGCCATCACATATCCCACCATGCAAATTTGTAGAGTATACTTAACATACGTTTATCACACTCAATTACACACCACCGAACTTTGTTAATGATACTCAACATTCATGTTTACAATACCTATTGTGTTTATATCTCATAGCGTATAGAATTGAAAATGATGATTAAACATTTGATATATATTATAGAAATATAAACAATTGTCATAAATATTATTTTTAGACACTTAACACAAAAAAAAAATGAAAAATTACCTGCACAGTCCGCAGCGTGTTTAGCCTGGTCGCCATTTTTGCTTGGTACTCTCAAATTTAGAGTTGCCACCTGGTTCAAAAAAATTTTTTTTCTACCAAAAAATACTAAATTACAAATTATATAAAAACAAAAAAAAAATTAAACCGCGACAAAAACATAGTACTATATTTTTTTTGATTCGAGTGTTGAGTATACTTAACGAAATCAAATAAAGGGTTAAATCCCTTTTTTATTCACGTTTATTTCACTATCCGGTTTTTTTTGAAATGTCTTGCAAGTATTGATCTTTACAACATTTATGATAAGGAATGTTCAAACTGTCAGGTAAACAACTGATCTTTTCCAACATTTGTATGTCGTTATGTTCTGTGGCTGCACTTTTCATCATTTATATAGATCGCAATTTACTGATAGCTAATCGAACTTCACGCTCATGAGGTCGTTTGCATGTTTTTCCACAAATAAAGCAATTTTGCTCCGGAAAATCTTTATTATTGGCAGGCTCATCTGTATTGACTTGACCATCAAAATTCTCGAACGTAACAGGAGCAGGTGATGCAGAATTCTCGCCAGGTACTTGTAGTGCATTGTTAGATTCCACTACACTTTGCTGTTGTTGTTGATTTAGAAAATCCGAAGGTATTTTTATTGTTGTGAATAATTTATAACACTGCACATGATAACCTTCATTTAACGATGTTTCTGCCGAAAGTTCTACAGAATTATATGTTGTTCTCGATTTTGTACTGACAAGTTTATTACGTCGATACTCCAAAACTGTCAAACATTTTTGTAATGTTTCCGATGTTAATTTAATAGTTTTTATCTATGTTTTTCTCCACAGAATACATACTTAAAACCATCACTCATTGCTTATACACAATTTACTAAAATTTATTCACAAAACTTATTTAAAATAAATAAATAACCAGAAAGTTATAACGTTTCGTACATAATAATATAATGAGTCTACGCATGAGTTTAACTCACTCTTCCTTAATCTGACGTGCTCAATTATTTCTGACGATCAATTTTTTTATTTCCTGATCGACTGCCCTACGCTATCTATATATAGCTATACTTAATAGATTGTAAAGTATCCTTCTTTATATTAATCTGCTCTACTTCATTCAATCCCAAAATCCCCGCTTGGGCGCCCCTACTATTAGGAGACTCCTGTGCATTTAGGTAACTGGCACTTGATCTTATTTTCTGACCAAACTGGCCAATGCCCGATTTGATGTTGCCGCAACGCATTCGACGTTACATGTTGCGCAGGATCCTTATGTTTTAGCCTAGATGTGTCTTTCTGTCAATATGCGGTTTTTCATGACTGTTTTCTGTCTAAGCTTGCACAGAATTTCGGCTATTTCGAATCGAAAATCTGCCAAAGCTCTTGTCGGTACAAAGGCCACGAATATTCTTATATGGAAATTATAATAGATGGTAAACCTCCGTAGTCGCCACCCTTAACTTCGGATCAAGCAGCTCGTCGGCCATGGCACTCTTCCACTGCTCACTCTCAGGCCAGTAGTTAAGATGTACCAGTTCTGGCTCACTGAGTCAGAAGTGGTACAACGTTCGTCGACTCACGATCGTAAAAATAAAAGGTTTTGCCATGTTCTGATCACGAATCTGCGGTCCGTTTTTGCGTAGTATAGGATTCACGGTTCCGGAGATGTTTAGATCAATTAAATAATATCTAATTGATATCCGGTGAGGCCCTCCACCGTCATTAGCGTCTCATTGTTCTTATCTATTGTTCATTGAACACCGTCATTGTCTAGTCTTACTCGGCGTGTGCGTCGGCTTATCAGTGCTATTGTATTATACTTCTTTGTTCCTAACTACAACGCTAATCTGAATCATCAATAAAACACATTACGTAATTTTGTTACAATTTTTATTTACAAAATACAAAATCTTATTACTTATTATCTATAAAATAGGAGCGAAACATCTCATCGACTAAAATATCGTTACAATGTGTTCTCTGTAAATATACTCCTAAAACTATGCATTGAATATCCCTGAAACTTATATAGCAAATACATTGAGCAATATTCGCCATAAACTGAAGTCCACTCATTCTGAATCTTATCAACATTCCAGTTCCATCTTTTACAATTCCTTTTTAAAAACTCTAGATGATATCGTACAGATGATCGTTAAAATATTGACCGACGTCATTCGTATCGGTATATAAATCTACCCAATGTGACCCCGGCTTATCATCTGCATCATAAGAACGATGTAAAATTTTGTGATTATTTTTTGCAAATATATGATTATTACACACGTAACGTTTGTTTAAATTTATGATATTTACCAAATCATTGTATTTTGGACATTTGTATTCTTCAATATTAAAAATTCTATCATTCGTCGTCAACATTTTTAAAAATTGTTTTTCTGCTGAACCACCTTTGTATGCGATCACTTCGTCTTTGCCCAAATTTCTAATGTACCAATTTAATATGGGAATGATGTTCTCTTGAAGAATTAAAATGTGCCTACAAGCACATTTTAATTCTTCGGTCACGTCAAAATATGAAATGCCGTGCACGTGTGTTTCGCATTAAAGAACAGTTTTTTTTGTCTTTTGGCGACAAATAATTGAAAGAATAACTTGGCCGAAACAAATAGTGATCGATAAACGCATAATTGTTATTAGATAGTTAGCAATTTTTTAGAAAGAACAGGTAAATGAAATTGTATACTTGGGGAGTGTTCTCAGCCGGAATGGAAGATGTGATTTAGATGTGGATAGGCGCGTCGGTGCCGGAAAAAAGTCAATGGTGCCCTGAATGCATTAACCAAAGGCAAGGCGTGGTGAAGAGTGCACGCCTTGCAATACATAACGCAGTGTTGGTACCGACTTTGTTATATGGCAGCGAAACGTGGGTATGCCAGAAGAAGCATAAAAGCAAGTTGAATGCAGTGGAGATGCGATCTCTTCGTAAAATGTGTGGCGTTACCATAGCCGATCGAAAGCGAAACGAAGAGATTCGCAATATGGCAGGATTGAAAAATGACCTTATCACAAAAATTGATAGGGGCGTACTCCAATGGTTTGGGCACGTTGAGCGAATGAGGGAAGACCGAATGGTGAAGAAAATATATAGAGCGAAAGTAAATATTAAAAGGTGTCGAGGTAGACCGAGACTAACTTTCGAAGACCATGTGAGCAAATTGCTCGAAGAGGGGAAGGTCAAGAGTACTCGGATACCTAGACGTGCATGTATGAATAAGTTAATGAACCTCAAAGAAGCGAAAGAGGTTTGTAAGGATCGTGACACTTGGCGATCTGTTCTCTCTGGCTACCCCGTTAGGGATTGTGCATGAAGATAAGTAAGTAAGCATTTTTTTTACAAATCACTACGCTATTCTCAAACCAATTCTACAAATTCATCAATTCGCTGTTTTTTTTGCATTAAATCAAGTTTCAAAATCATCAACTTGATGTCTTTTAGCATCAATAAAAATCACGATTCATACGTAGTAAAATAGACGTATCGTTTTTTCCAGGCAACGACGTTTATTTCATAATACGTCACAGGACGTAGCACTATACGTCACGCGATGTTTTAAACGTTTTTATTTTGGGAAATCAAACAAAATTTATGATTAACTTAAAATTTTATTTTCAAGCAATAACCACTTGTAAAAACCCCACACTTCAACACAAGAACAATGTAAAATTTTGTGATTATTTTTTGCAAATATATGATTATTACACACATAACTTTTGTTTAAATTTATGATATTATTTTGTGATTATTTTTTGCAAATATATGGTTATTACACACATAACGTTTGTTTAAATTTATGACATTTACCAAATCATTGTATTTTGGACATTTGTATTTTTTACTATTAAAAATTCTATTATTCGTCGTCAACATTTAAAAAAATTGTTTTTCTGCTGAACCACCTTTGTATGCGATCACTTCGCCTTTGCACAAATTTCTAATGTACCAATTTAATATGGGAATGATGTTCTCTTGTTTGTAGGCACATTTTAATTCTTCGGTCACGTCAAAATATGGAATGCCGTGCACGTGTGTTTCGCAATAACGAACAGCTTTTTTGTCTTTTGATGACAAATAATTGAAAGGATATCTTGGCCGAAACAAATAGTGATCGATAAACGCATAATTGCTATTAGATAGTTTGCATTTTTTTACAAATCACTATGCTATTCTCAAACCAATTCAACAAATTCATCAATTCGCTGTTTTTAGCATAAAACAAGTTCAAAAATCATCAACTTGATGTCTTTTAGCATCAATACAAATCACGATTCATACAAAGTAAAAAGGATGTATCGTTTTTTTCAGGCAACGACGTTTATTTCAATACGTCACAGGACGTAGCACTATACGTCACGCGATGTTTTAAACGTTTTTATTTTTCGAAATCAAACAAAATTTATGATAAATTAAAAATTTTATTTTCAAGCAATAACCACTTGTAAAAAACCCACACCACAAGAACAATGTAAAATGTTGTGATTATTTTTTTCAAATATATGAGGGGTATGGGGTCATTGTAGAAGCGTGCTTGTCGCGACCCCTGCCAGCCCTTTTCAGGGCTGCAATTCTACACAGCTGCGCACCCATGCAAACGAGGGTTAGGGCGTCCCCCCAAGGCGACGCACACCAGCTCGTCCCCGTTGGTGTGGAATGCAGCGCGCAAAGCGGCGATGGGGACCGCCACCCGTCACGCACAGCCCGACACGGCGGAAGGTGGAGGATGGAGTGCAGAGTTGGCACGTGGAATGTTAGAGGGGGCATGAGAGATAAGACGAATGAGTTGATCGAAATAATGAAAGAAAGAGAATTAGATGTCGTGTGTATGTCGGAGACCAAACGGAAAGGCAGTGGTACTGAAGAGCTCCCTGGCGGGACGTTAGCTATATGTTCCGGAGTCCCGGAAAGCGAGAACGCCTGCCAGGGAGTGGGAGTGCTGTTGCCGTCCCGGTTGGTCGATCTTATGACTGAATACAAGGTTGTGAACTCAAGACTTTTCTGGGTTCGCTTCAAAATGGGACTGACGAAGTTATTCCTTTTGGCTGTTTATGCGCCGGTAGCTTCGTCGTCCAGGGCTGAGCTGGAGGAGTTTTGGGAGAATGTAAGAGAAGTTCTAGATTTGGTTAAGGGAAACGAAAGAACTGTTGTATGTGGTGATTTGAATGGATGGGTAGGTATCGCTCGACCAGGATACGAGTCGGTGCTTGGAAAGTTTGGCGATAAAAGGGTTAATGATGCTGGCAAGCTTATACTGGCTGTATGCAAGGAAAAGGGTCTTCTTGTGACAAACACTATGTTTAATCACAGGAAAATCCATATGTACACTAGAGAAAGAAAGAATGAGAGAAGTATGATTGATTTGTTCCTGGTGGATGACCGACTGCGAAAACAGGTGATGGATACACGAGTGTTCAGGGGTGCTGACCTGGGAACGGATCATTATCTAGTAATTACTAGATTTAGGGGTTTGTTCGCGGGTTGGCGCTACCGGACGGCAGTAACAGAACCGCAGTCGGTCTGTCGCATCCGAAGCTGGAAGCTTCAGGAAGTGGATACTAGGGACAAATATCACACGAGGGTAGCCGAAAAGCTTGACACCATCGATGGCAGGAAAGAATGTGTAGAGAGAATATCGCAGAACCTTAGGGATGGAATGGTAAGTGCAGCGGAAGAAGTATGTGGTACAACAAAAAGAGGTAGTAGTAAAAGAAGAGATGCATGGTGGAATGATGAAGTGAGAGAAGCTGTAAAAAAGAAGAAAAAAGCATGGTTAGACTACTTGGCCTCTAGTAACGATGAGCATATGAGAGAGAAGATGAAAGAAAGATATAAGCTGCA